GAGAGAGAGAGAGAGAGAGAGAGAGAGAGAAAGAGAGAGAGAGAGATGACCCCATTGACAGATTATATAGAAGAGATGCTAAGGTTAGGGTTTTTAGGGTTTAGCCATCCTTATGAAGATTCCATCTAGATTATTGATCATTAGTGACTTGTGGGGTGAGAGATTTTAGCAAGAGGTGTGTGTGGCCTTAAGAGGGTGAATTCCACATGATTTTTAGAAATTAAAAGAGAGAAAAGCTTAGGCTTTTGGAACTCTAGCTTGGGGTATGGAGAAGAAAATTATGCTTGTGTTTGGCTTTGCTCCTTGTTGATTTTATTGTTCCCTCAAATTACCCTGCATCGCATACAATCCATAGATCAACTATCATGATCTAATAGAAGATGGTAGAACATTATCTCTCAGCTTCTTTAACGTAATCCCATCAAAGATTTAGTATAGAGAAAATATATTGTAGTTTCCTTTTATATTCAAACAATCTCTATGCATTCTTCTTTTGAAATCAATTAGTCTCTTTTCAAAACTTTCCTTTTCTCTTTAAGTCAATTATATGGCTTACGAAACGAGCCATATAAAATAGAAAGAGGCAAGGAGTGGGGCTACCCACTCTATGGGGACATAGTGGCCCCCATGCCCCCATCAAATATGGGCTAAAATGATGGGCCTATAGAGTAAAATGGGCCCCCCATATTATTTAATTATTTTAGAACCATTAAAGTGATTTTAAAAAAATATGAATAATTTATTTTCTTCTCAAAATATTTAAATACCAAAAAATTCAGTTTTAGCTCATTTAGATTCTAGTTTCAATGAAATAGAATATCCAGAGGCATCCAAAAAAATTATTTTAATAGGCTAAAATCGTTTACAACAAAATTAATTATTTCTAGATTAATTTGATGGGTATCGGATCTAACTTCGTTAATTAAAATGCAAAAATACCGAGGAACTTTATCTCTACTGGTGACTATGTTCCACGTACTTTCTCAAACTGACCGAGTAGTTCTTATGACCCACAGTTCATCATAAGGGTTAATATAGGTGATGAGTACACAATCCCAGTCTATGGACTACAAATTCCCCCAAGGGACAATCCTAGGTCACTCAGACCTGTGCACACACATCGCAATTGGTGCATGGGGGCTATAGCACATTTATATGTAACACCCTCCATGATGTATGTTTCTTATTACGGTTATCATATGTGCATATGCCATGTGATGGTCTGATGATTTGGCCTTCGTCCCTTCAGGCCTATGAATCACGCACAAGGGTCACAAAGTCCCTTGGCCAACTACCCTGGGCATCTCTCCGACCTTATCAAGGGTTAACCCTACAAACCCTTCCCGTTTGTGCTATATGCGCAGGTATTATAGGGTTTTAGAACTCAACTAGGCCTAGCTCGTCAAGCGTAATTTGAGTCATGGCATGAATATTGTCAACTTTGGTCCCTTTGGACCATAATCATTTGGTCCCACTGGAGTTATCATATCACTATAGTCATAGTTTTACATGCTCTCGTAAGACCTTTAAATGGCCACACAACCTCAACATCCAATGGTCACTTGTTTGCAGATACCCAATCATGAAAACTTCAGGATGTGTTTCTTTTGTGGGACCTTTTCAGGCCAACTATAATTATGCAAGGTACACAATCAAATGCGTGTTTGGCCTTCTCTCACAAATCATATTTCATGCTGCTAAGGGCTCTTGTACATTTTAAGACCTTATTGATATAATTATATAAAGGAAACCTGTATGTGTAATCTATCTTTCTAGGAATGATTTGTATGCTGTTGATTGTGTCTTTTGATGTGTTTGATTTGACAATGTCTGGTTTTACTTAAAAGTACGTTACTTTATCAAAATGCTTATGTTCTATAAACCAATTTTTTGTTATCTATCTCGTGCATGATCAAATAATTTGTTACATGCGTTTCGGATATATTGCATTTGAGTGAGTATTCATCCTAGTATTAAAACGTATTTATGATATTCTATATAATTTCCCTTCTGTGGTATCTCGGATTTGTTCCTATCTATTGTGATATTTATTTCTGAAAGCTTGCATTTTTTGATCCAAGGTATTTGCTGACATGGAAGAGCTAGGTGTCAAGCCAAACAATGCAATTGTCGTGATGGTTGGAGATGAATTTCAGAAACTGGGCATGCTGGACAAGTACAAAAAGTTAAAAAAGAAATATCCACCTTTAAAATGGGAATACCGGTACATCAAAGGGAAGCGTGTTAAGATTCTTTCAAAGAACTTAAGTCAATTTGGTAAGAAACATGCTAAATCCAAAGCTCCTTTGTGGTAACTTGGGGATCCATAATTACATTTGTTTGCATATTATTTTCGTGATATATATTGACGGAGAAAGTAGCATAAAACTCCCTTCTGGTACTAGTGATTGTAGTCCCTTGTTCATTTTGCTTGAACTGATTATGTTTCGCAGAACTGGATTTGAATTTTGTATTTCTTTTAAGGATGACGGACTTGTGAACCTCATTTGGTTATCTAGAACATCTAATCAACTGAACCGTGCTGCCAAGTTAAATCACACTCTTCTAGGCTGGATCAGACTGTTCCAATCTGTGAACAATACTGACAAATCAAATATGTTTAGGCTTTTAGCTAAAACTACTGAAACATATGGAGGCCAAGGAATTGAGATATATCTGTGTTGGATGCAGCACTGTACCAGTAATTGCATATCTTTTCTATAACAAAAATTGAAAAAAAAGAAAAAAAAAAGAAAAGAAAAGAAAAAGTTCAGGTGGAGAACTAGACCTGAATCATGCTCTAATGCTTGCGTAGTGTTTTCTTGACTGACCAGGCTTGTGGTTAAAAAAGATTGGATTAAGTTGGGTGATCCAATCTAGTTGTACTGACATTGGTTTCACCAAAGCCACATGGCTCCAGGAGGCTCACTGGTTATTTCTTGTTTTTATAAGACTATCGGGCCTGTTTTATCGATCAATCACCTAAGTTGAACATCTTAAACGCAAAGTGCCTGGAGGATTTTGCCTCTTTGTTGAAATATTAAATAGGACTTTGCTTCAGTTCTGATCACCCTTTACCACCAGTTGATAAATTCATCAGTAAATATTTGGCTCATGACATATAATTTCATGCCTAACACATCATGACTCCTCAATTTTAAAAACATTGCAGAAAGGAGCTGCATGGTCGATGAGGGACTTGCCCACATGTAATCAGCCTAGATCTTTTCACGGAGCTCCCTCTTCTCCAGGGTGGGATTCTATGAAATCAGACATTAGAGGATGAGGATAAAGACGCTCAGCAACAAGATAAAAGACAGACTACCCAAGATAACAACAACAATTTCCCTAGAGCCTGCTAATTGAATGCATTAAACTTTGCATGTCAATCAAAGGATACACCTCAAGACTAATATAAACTGGCACACGGAGCGGCTTATGCATAAGTGCATAAGTGCGATGCATATCCAAAACATATGACGTGGCACCTTTTATATAAGGGCTACCTTAGCTCCAGTTAGAACCTTGGATCTTGAGTTGCCGCACTTTAAGTTGCAATATCGAAAAAAGGCAAAAGACGAATGAAAAATAGTTCCTGAATTGTGCTTCCTGTGCTCAAATTCATCTTTTATTATGAATGGTTCCCTTGCTCTAGTTCCATTTACATTTGTAATTATGCTTATGGCTTGGCTCTTGCATCTTGAGTTGATAACCCTTTTGACATTCGCTTGCAGTTGTATTTTACATTGTGAAGTGACATTTCATACGGTTGGTTCGTTTGATTGAACCTTTATGCTTCTCCCTTCATAATGTTTGAGGTTTCATTGATATTGCAAACCTTGTTTATATTGAACGTTTTAATGCTGTTGAAGTCATATATTTTGCATAATTTAAAGGGATAGTATGTTTTTGTGCATGTGATGCACGTTCAAGACAAACTTACATGTATTTCCCTGTTCCTTCGTCATTTCTTTTTTTTGTTTGTGGCATCATCAGGTGAGGATGGAGTTAGGCCACAAAAGGATGAGCCAAGAAGAATGAGAGAGGAATGTGAGAATGCTACACTCTGTGTATCTGACAATGAAAATGAGGCATCATCAGATGAGGATGGAGTTATTCCAGAAAAGGATGAGCTGAGAAGAACGAGAGAGGAATGTGAGAATGCTGCACTCTATGTATCTGAAAATGAAAATGAGGCCCTTCAAGCTGAATCAATAAATGACCACAGTTTAGTATCTTAGGTAGCGTTCATTGTGCATCAAGGAGAACATAGCTAACCTAGTGCAATTGCAACAAGCATCCTTGCCCCTCAATCTGGATGAGGGCTATGGATGATTGTAATCTGGATTGAGGTACATGAAACTGATAATTAGGAGCAAGGGAGTTATATATGAGGTTTTTTTGTTGCAAATTTTGTGCATTGTATTTTCAACGACATCCATATCAATCCATACTACAGAGCTTGGCGACCACTGATCTTTATAAAAGTGTACATGTATATATGATTGCTATTGAATATGTTCCAATTTCTGCAGACATATCTATCCATACTAGATGAAACAAGCATTTCTATCATCCTTCCAACTTGGCTTCGTACTGAGGCCATCGCTTTAAAGAATACCTGATACCAAAGCCTTTTGAAGGGGAGGCTCTTGATGTGAATTGTTTTTGTGAAGTTTCTCTCCCAAAAGTAGCAGCATATACCTGGTAATTGGGTATACGATGGATAAGACGGGTAAAAAAATGTTATGGTATATGATGGATAAGACAGGTAAAAAAATGTTATGGTATATGATGGATTAGACATAACATTTTTTTATTTATTGAATGTTTTAAACATAATGGGATATACACCATTATATTTTATGAGGAGAAAATTAGAAGGAAGATAAAAAAAGAATAAAATGGAGGTGTCCTAGTACATTCACCCTTGTGGTCTTTTTTGGCTTCTACCTCAAATGGAACCTGAATTATTGGTTAATGTAGCATTCTGTCAAGTTTGTTCTTTTCCACAGGAACTGAAGCTGTAATTCTTATGAGACAAAAGAAAACATATTGAAGTACCTCATTACGGTACCATAATCTTTTTATTTTTTGTCCATTCAGAGGTATTCCAAGGTTTTTTTTGGAGATAATTGTGAAGCTCCGAAGTTATCTTAATTTATTTTGTCTGATTTAGTTATTTCCGGCCACCTCCACTCATAAGTCGTAACTGAGGGTGCGTTTGATATGTGGAGTTTTTGGGAGTGGGTGGGAGTCTCCCACAAACTATAGAAGACTGCTCTTCCATGAGGGTGTGTTTGATATGTGGAGTTTTTGGGAGTGGGTGGGAGTCTCCCACAAACTATAGAAGACTGCCCTTCCTCCATCATGGAAGGGAGGTCTTCCAAAAATGAAGCCATTTTAACGCTAAAAAAAAGCCGTGGAAATCTGCCCTTCCATTTAATTTCAAACATGGAGGTGGGACATTTAATTCCCACTTCTAGAAATTCCTACTTATCAAATACGACTTGAAAGTTCAGGGATGGTATCTTTTTTTTAGTTACGTTCGGTTGGGAATGTTAAAGTCTGTTTTGATTGCGTTGCTATGATAAATTAGTAAAGGATTGTCAACAAAGAGACCATTTATCTTTTGTACATGAAGGTCACAATCATTTTTGTACCATTATTTTATTTTTTAAATACCCGATCGGTCACCAAAACTGGCTAAAACAGAAACCGGCCATATCGGTTCAGATTTTTCTGGATATCTTTCAATTGGTTTTTTATGGAAGAAATATGTCTTTCAGCAAATAATCTGAGTTGACAAACTCCATCATTCTAGGTTATGTGAAAATTTAAATGAATGCTCATCATTTAAAAAAAAAAAAAAGGTTATGTGAAAATTTATATTATGTGGCAACAAATAGCTATCTACTTTTAAGTGGGATTTTCTGATTCCAGCTATTCAAGGGTGGTGTAAGAATAAGCCATTTTTCTGGCCATTCTCCATCTACGACTAGATTTCCATTGATCGAATAATTAAGTTGTCGGACTTCATCATTGGTATCATAGCTCTCATACCAATACAGGGAGAGAGGGGATACATGAACTGTTTTTGTTGATTTTTTATTTTTTGATAAAAGAAAACAAACAAGAACTCACAATAACAAAGGACTGAACCTGTTTTTGGTATTTTGATACAAAAGAAATAAAAGGAATTGAATCACAAACAGAGGGAGGGACAGATAGAAGAACAATGTTTCTCTTAATTTTTTTGTTTTGTTTTGTTTTTAGGAGAATTGTTTGGTGCACCTGCACCTGTTACTATGCGAGCTGGGAGATCTACATCAACCAATAAAAAAAAGTGTAGATCTACACCATAAATGATAGTCCTCTATAGAAAAAGTAAAAGGGCAGACAACAGTTCAAATATTTTCTTAAATAATTATCATTTTTAGTTTTTTAAATTTATTTATTTTTATAGATTAATAATCTATATGTATTATATATTTCCTAAAAATTAAAATTAATTTTAAAAACAAATTATTAAGGGGCCCATATTTGAGTCCGCGGACTCATAGAAACCGTGTCCATGTTTTTAATTAGGGAGAGAATAAGAAAGAGGTGAAAGAGCCAAAGTCAAATTTCTTAGAGAAAAGTAAGAGAAAGAGAGAGAAGATAGACTTTTTTTTCTTTTTTTTTTCCTTTGAGGATGGGAAATAGGTGAGAGGTCAGAACTATCTTTTCAAACCCCTCCAATATAAATAGTTCTTGTCATGAAAGAGATGAGAAAGAATACTATGCTTGGATGGCTTACTTGGACTAAATGATTGGTAGGGTATGAAGTGATAAGATCCCAATTGTTTGAAACATAATTAAGGATAATAGGTTTTAAACATAGTTAAAGATAATGGGTTTTTTAACACACCAAAATATGTTTTTTTTTTTTTTGCGTAGGGAAGAAGGCCCCTTATCTATTCATGAATAGAAGATAGAAAAATAAATAAAACTTCAGAGTAAAAATTCATAGGCCTTAGGAGGAATATCTTTGTCTCATTTTACATCAAACTAAAAATAAAATAAAAATTACATCCTTATACTATAGAATAAAGGCACACTTCTAAAGGTGTAACCTTAAACTATATAATAAAGGCGCACTTCTAAATTCAGTAGAAAAAAGTGTTCTAATTGAAGATATTGACCTTAAATAACAAGAAAGAAAAGAATTTAGAATTATAAAAATAATACATTTTGTAACAAGTTATTGGGTCCATTTATTTCAAGATTCTCAAGTGGTTTATCAAGATTTTTAAGTGTTTATTAATCTACTCAATGAGCCCTGTAAAATTTTTAGGGGTCGTTTGGTACGCATGAAGGTTTGACATGAAAATATCTTCATACAAAAAATTTACATGTGCAAATAATTTAGAGGAAATTTTTTAGTCAAGCATGCTTCTCACGGTAAATACATTCGTGTGGGTATTTTAGCATAATTAATTATATTTGATAAAATGGGCGACTCTATGTGTGACTAGAGATGGGGTCCTATTTTCACATGAATTGGTAATGGAAATTTTTTTCATTATGTATATTTATCGCGTACGCAGTATGCGCAAGAGTAAATCATAAACCCTAAGCCCAATGTGCGTTAGAGTAACACCTTTTTCACGTGAAAATATTTTCCTACCAACCAAACACGAAATTTGATGTTTAGGGCCGAAAACGAACTTCAAGCCATCCTTTTATTGTGGGCACGATTTTTGCGTAGTAGGTTTTCTCTCTCGAACTCAGACTCAAGACTCAGTGAAACAAATCAATAATCAGGTATGACTTCATGTGCTCTCAATGAAAATAAGAAAAACCATGATTTTTATACTTGAACCCTCCTTCGATTGATTAATTAGAACAATCATTCTGCAGTTCTCTCAAAATTGGATTCAGTCACTATTTGAAGAAAAAAAAGGTAGAAATAGAGAAAATCAAATATCAAAAGGAATTTTATCATCTTGCCTCTGCAATATTTTTTCTGATCAATCCAAAAAGCATATTAACCAACTCGAACTATTTTGAACAATAATTTTTTTAAGCAAACACTTGGAGAACTAGTTGTAATGGGGTTTCCTACTTTGTTGTTGTTGTTGTTGTTGTTGTTGCTATTGTTGTTGTCGTTATTATCATTATCATTGGGCTTTCACTAAGCTTATTGCGAAATTGGAAGAAAGGGGAGACATTCCCATTCTATGCCTTTGTGGTGATTAATAGAATACTTGATTGCTCTGCATATAGTGACTATAAAAAGCTTTTGTATTATCTCTCCTTCCAATATTTGCTAATTGTGTGTTTGCTTGTTTTTTGATTCTCATCTCATCAACAGCATAATCGATTCTTATTCCTTGAATCTCATCATCGACATAAATTTAAAGAGATTCTCATCTCTTTAAATTGTTTTATACTAGAAAAATAAAATTGAAGAGATTTTCATCTCTTTAAGTTATTTTACACTAAAAAACTTGAAACTGTGTGTTTGAAGGAGCATATCATCATCATGTCTAAGAACCACAGTGGGAAGTCAGGTATTGGGAGGGCCCTAGTGAAGCACCATAACCATTTGATTCAACAATCCAAAGAGAAGGGCACCTTCAATAGGAGGCAGAACAAGCAATTGCCTTTGGAGTCGGTTACAGACATCAAGGATATCGAGGCTGTGATTGAGCAGGCAGAAGAGGCTGGCCGCATATTTTCTTCCGCTAATCCCGACCCCGACCTCCTCATCAATCTGTGAGTTAACAAATTCGCTCCTTTAATAGCTACCAGATCACTTTTCAGAAATGATTGATGTTGTGAATTTCGATTCAAAATCTATGAATCCTTTAGTGTGTTCCATGCACAACAATACAAGCAGTAACATGTTTTGTGGCCTAAATCTAATGTTAGGACAATTATTGTCTCTTTATTTTGATGCTTGTTATTTGATATACATGCAAAGTGGTTGCATGATTTCCTCCTGATTTGCATGCAAAGTGGTTACATGATTTCCTCCTGATTGGTTGCATTCTCTTTACCAAGTGTATACAGTATACCAAATTTTGATGCATAAGGTTTCCTGTGATGCTTTTGCCACAACAAACTATTGAAAGAAGCTGCTTATCATTGTGAAAGGAGAATTAGCCTCCTGTCTCCTTTTGTCTTCTCCTAACATGTCCAATAAGGCTGTACATTCTTCTCCGATGATGTAGGGTTTGCCAAAGTGCATGTTAAGTGGATCCTATTCTTTGTATGTTTTTGGTGCTCGTGCAATCTATAAGTATGCATTCATGAGCACCTTTTCATACTTCCTTGGCAAGCAAGCATGCTTCAAGGTAAAGCTTACTGGATCAGGTTAGGTGCTTGATGTGAATGTGTGGGTGATCCGGATGAACATTTGATGAATGTTTATGCGTGGAAAGTCTCTTTCTCTCTCTCTTTTATTTTTTTGAGAGCATACACAAACCTAAATGTATGTTGCTTCTGTATGCAAGTACACATTTATTATGTTGATTCTATGAAGATTAATAATATATATCATTCAGATTACCGTTTTTTTGTGATTCTGTGCATGTATATGTCTTGGCAATGCTTTGTACTGGCTGTCATCATGTTTTCTTACTCATAATATATAATTAGTAAAAGGTTATTGTGATGAATTCTCTTTTCTTTCGCTGGGATATCTGCTAAGATAGTTATATAAGAAAGGTCTGTACTGATACCAAACCAAAATACTTTCAGTGATTTAAATTCTGAGAATGGCAATTTGACTGGGGATGAAAGGAGAGAGCAACAAAAAGAGGAGGCTTTGTATAGAAGCAATCTTAGAGTTCCTCGCAGGTGCACATCTCTCAGTCTTTCAAAATAATTTTTATATTTAACTGCTTTTGGTCTATGTCATTTGCATAAGGACAATCATAATGTATGATCCACATTTCGTGTTTGTTTCTATTTCTATAATGTGCTTGATATCTTGACATGCTTGACTCGTTTTTTTTTTTTTTTTTTCTTTCTCTTGGCAACTTTTTAACCTGGTGTAGCTGTGCTTTGTTTCAAAAGTCAGCATGGACATGTCCATTTTGTTGTTGCAATGCTAATACTTGGTTGGTCGGGCACTAACAAGGATCTCGTCCAGAGATGAAGGTGGTAGATGCCAAATGTTTTGGTTCCCATAGACCATTTTCTTCTGTATTGTCCCTATTCATTTAGAACATGGCGATTCCTGACTTAATAGAGGTTTCCTTTGTCATCTCTGAATCAGTAAAAGGTCTCATATGTCACCTCCGCGGAAGATCTGTTTCCTGTCTGTGTTTTGGGATAATATAGAAAAGAAAGAAACAGCAAAATCCTGAAAGGTACCCATATGGATTGCTTTTGACTTAAGGAAAACATTAGGGATTATGTGACCATGTGGGTTGCCATATCGCCAAAGGTGTTTACAGAGGACCTTATACATGAATGAAAGCTGGTCGTTTACAGTGTCACTAACTGGGGCTGTGAACTGTGCCACCTTATGTCCAAACCTCATATTTGGCTGTAGTTCCTGGGAGTAGCTGGGTTGTCTGAGGTGGGTGATTTAGTAGAGCAACCTTGGTAGGACTTGAACGTTATTTACCGGGGATATGCATTTTAATGCTGTTGTAGAAGCAAGAGCCATATGGATAATGCCAATTTTATATCTGATTTCTTGGTCCACTAAGGTGATTTGCTTATCACAAGTCCAAGTATTCTTTTTCGTCACTAGATGCACGTTGGGATTGGCAAGTTAAGGATGACCATATTGATGGCAACAACTATCTATTGAAAGAAAGAGAGAGATAAAACTGACAAATCCTTGGAATTATCCATGGAGACATGACTAATTGATCCATCAACATTACCTGCTCTCACAGTAAAACTTTGTTCTACCAATTATAGCTTCTCAAATATTAATTAAGTCAACAATAGGACATCAATATCCTTGGCTTTCCAAGAGAGTCCACAATACAGCATCAGTATCCATGGGTTATCCGCGAGAGAACTGTTCACCTTTAGAGAGCTATTGTATTCCCTTGATGTCTAACTCGAGTAGCTTTTAGAAGACTCCATTAGCATAACCCTTGATGCCTCCCTAGGGTAAAATTTCTTTTATTTCCATATCTTTGAATATCCTTTCCATCCTACCCTTCTAAATCTTCTAGGTAAAATGGTGAAGAATCTCAAAATATCGATGGTTAGTACTATGTGATTGTATGGCGTTATCAAGCACAAAATAAAAATAAAATTGATTTAATTTTAAGGAGTTGCCAGATTTTGCATTCTTTTGTGGAAATCTAGCTAAATTACTAACATATTGATTTCAAATTTCTTTTCATTTTTCAAATCATTTAGTTTTCCCATATGATTTCCTGCTCCCACCAAAACATACTGTCCATTTGCTCCTGGGTCAAACCATGCTAGAAGTATTTTAGAGCCCAATTTTTGGGGATGTAAACCTCCTTGCACTTAGTGATCAATGTCCCAAAAGGAAAAAAAATGGACTGTGTAGCGCCCCAAAATATATCGTCATGAGATTGAATAGAGAGTCCATTTTTTTTGAGAGTTAGATCTAAGTGTTTAAGATCTCAAAATTTTATTTTTCTTTATTATTTTTTTAAAATAATGATCTAGTGATCCTCATGTAGGTCCGAAAATTTTAGATAGCTGTTTTGTTTGAGGGAATTGGCATACAGTATGTTCCTTGGGGAGAATGCTACATGTGTGCTTTAGTTTTCTTGATTTCTTTTTGTTTCCTTGATGCTTCCATCTGCCACTAAGCAGGTCAGGGCATTTACACTTGTGATGAGACTGCATAATTTTTTGACTACTTTACAGAATGTATCATATGATACAATGGCTGAGCATTGTGGTTTTAATGCTTTGTTCATAAGCAAAGGCATTGCTTGTTTGTATTTTTTCTTTGTATTGGTAGCCTTTCATAGCAACATGGTTATTAGATCATAAATACATAACTGGTTTAAAAATGAGATATGGAAAGTAAGATGAACAAATGAACTAGAGTGTGTACTTGGTTGGTTCTACATAGTACAAAAGCATTAGTGATTTATTGATGGATTCCTGGTCCATAATGTAGTTCTGTTTATAATAACACAGTTGCTTATGTAATTCATCCATTCCATATAGAAATCAATTTTAAGTGGATAATTCTTACAGTTGCCTCGGTCTTTTGCATCATTTTCTTCATTCGTTTGCAGCACTCTATTTATAACTGTATTCATGTTGTGCAGGCCACCCTGGAATCCAAGCATGTCGGTGGATGAGCTTGATGCCAATGAAAAACAGTCCTTTTTAACTTGGCGTAGAAGCCTTGCAAGGTCTGCTTCACTGTTTGTTTCTTAGAGTTAGCTTAATTAGCTCTATTTGAACTTAGCTTTGTCATTAGCAATCTCATGTAACTTTTGATTTCCTTCTTTACTATCTTCTTGTTTATTTTTTGGTAATGCGTTTGTAGTATTCATAAATGCTTTTTGTCTGAACCACCACCTAATGTGTCAATTCAGGCAAACTAATACCACTCCTACAGATTTATATTCTCTCTAGGTTCTGACGGGAATGTTTCTGTTCCTCATGATTTAAAGTTTTAACCTCTAAATATTCTTTTCTGAAGGGAAATATTTATTTCATTGTCGCAATCTATTTCAAAAAAAAAAAAAAAAATCATCATCTGAACCAAATCACTTTTCATTTTTCTTTGTTTGTGCATATTGTTAAAAGTGGCATAGTTCCAGAGATATCATTCAGTTGTGTTGGCATTCTTCAATGAGTCTAAATACCTAGCCAACCGCACAATCACATTTAAGAAATCTTTTTATGATTCATGCCGCTAAGATACCTCTCACCAAATCCTTGAGAGAAAGAAAGAATTCATGTAATCCGTCTTACTTTACTGACCTCGAAATATTATCTATATGCCCACTTGAGTAAAGCTTGATATATAACTTCCTCTGTTAAAGCTCACACTGTTCATAAGGGGTTGAGCGGTGTTCTGAAACTGGAAGTGAGAGTTCCAGGCAGCTCTCTCTCTCCTCTCCTAGAAATACGTAATCAATATCTCAAGTACATAGCTAAGATGGATAGAGGTGGAAACAAGTGGTCAATGCTTCTCACCTGTACTACTTGTCAAACCATATCTCTACTCTCATCTCCAATCAAGGACAAAGTATTGCATTTAAGTTTTGCTGGTATAGAACAAATCCCATTCTATGCCCTCATAATTCTGCTATGCCTTCTTATATCTGATTCCTCAGTCATTATACTCACAACCTGTGTTTTAAATCTTGATGAACGTCCCTAGTATTGGATGAGTATCTAGACTGCACTTCTGGACTTATTCTAGTCTCTTAGAGACTCGCTCAAGTATTAGCAAGTTCTCTGGATTAGGATACTGAAAAGTGCCAAACTGAGTCTGTAATGCAACATGTTTTCCCTACAAAACCCAAGTGCAAGGAATATTTCTCCTCAAACACCAGTTCGACTTCCTTAGAAAGGTCTAGTTTATGGAACTAAATGTCGAACCCACAAGATTTTTGTCTTTGGCTTGCCAGCATCCTCCTATCTAACCGCATGGGACTTATGTATAAGGAAATCACCTATGGATTCTCTTGATTTATTTGTCTACCCCAAGCATTATCCTTAAAAGGGACATAATCACCACACACACACACATACACACACATACAGAGTATGTGTTTATATAAGATGTTAACATTCAACAATGAAAGGGTGCACCTTCAAACCCTGTTGGAAGATGCAATTTCGATGTCGAAAACCCCTGTGATGGGCTGAAAATTTGTTTTCACCCCTAATTATGAAATTTAAAACTCTAAAAATGGTGTAGCTCGAGCATATCTATAAACACTTGAAAATGGATGGTTCAAACAATATATTACAAGATGCACATTTTTTAGGATTTGAAACTCTTTTTTACCATATCCACACATCTTGAGGTCCAAATGATTAATTGGAGGGTTTTCTAGTGTTGGTGCAACCTTTACAGGAGGGGTTTTGAGGTGCGCCTTTATATATATATTATGTATAATATTTATGTCTGTGTGTGCGCGCCCTCGAGTGCATGTGTGTATGTACATATGCACATAGATACATATCATCATCATCATCATCATAGCCTTTTTCCAACTTTTTGGGGTCGATTGTGCAAATCCTGGTCGGCCATTCTACTCTATCAAGGACCATACTTTTAGTGAGGCCACAAGTCCTTAGATCTTTTCTCACTACTTCCAACCATGTTCTTTTGGGTGCGCACACACACACACACATATATATACATGGAGTATTTCTTTAATGTACTCAACATTTTTGGACACTTGATGCCCTTACCCCATAATGTAGTAACTTTTTTGTTTATATATATATATATATATATATATATATATATAGATAGATTAGGGTAAAATAGAAAATTTGGATAGAAAGAAAAACATTTTTTAAGTATGGTGGAGAATAACATCATCCACATGAGGTGTGACTTCACCCACATAAAGCATTAATAAATTTTAACCACTAATAGAATGCCATTAGTTTCTTATAGAAATATCTATTCTATCCCTCCTAATGACGAAAAATGCACTTGCTCAAAAAATTTGTATTACAAGGCAAGGGTATTGAGTGTTAAAAAATGTTGAGTATATTTAGGAAATATTCCTTGTGTAGGAGTGCCCTAACAAAACCCATATATGGAAGTACTATGTTGGAGTTTTTTGCCTACTCCTTGGTTGAGAGACATCTTCTTCATTGATAGAAGTCTTGGATACCCATATAGGATTACTGTTGAGATACAATTTAATAATATGTTTCCTTGTCTGGTGGATTTAGATTTTTGTGAATTGTCAAGATATGTTACCATTACAAATGAAGCATAAAATTGCTCAAATAACTATGAAAGGTTTAGATGATTATTTCATTGCCTGGAGAAAGTTGGGTTAAATCATTTGAACCTTGAAGATTCATCTCTAAAACATATGTAAGGATTTTTAAGGATGGTAAGCTTTTGATACCTAAATTTGTTGGCACTTTATAGATTTAAAAAAGATCAGTTGTTTCTCAATTGGGTTTGTGTTCATATTTCCATTTCGATATGGTTCAATGGGGTATCGGCCTTTTATTTCCATTGGACTGAAGATTATGATGTGGTTCTGTATTACTTCAGACTTGAGGAGAATGAGAAGCTTGTCCTCACCCCTTTTGAGAAGAATTTGGATATTTGGAGGCAACTTTGGCGTGTGCTAGAGCGAAGCGACCTGGTATATACTTTGTTTCCTCTTCAAATGGTTGTTTTTCTTTCACTTTGACTTTCCCTACTTGATGACTTTATTCAGGGAAGATTTTAAGCTAGTAGTGGTTTGATTTATTCATGTGCTATTTATGCAAAAATGATTTGAATGCATGTTACTGTGTTTAGTGTTTCAATTTTTTCATTTGTTTGCAGAAAAAAAAAAAAAATTTAATCTTCTATATATAAAGCAACGTGCCTTTCGGATATTGCTTCGAAGGCTATGGTTGACCAATTTAATATGCACTAGCCTTCATTTCAATCTTGCTCCAGCAGGAGCATTTTATACACTTACTCTATCAGTTTAAAAACATTATATTTTACATAGAAAAGCTTGACTGCCCTTGTCTTAATCTAGGCCCCCGGGGGTTCTAGCGCAGACAGCACCTAGGGAGCCAACCAGAACCTCAGGTGCCTTAAGGTTAAAGATATACACATATATGTATCATCCAAATTCACATATGCAGATATGTGTCAAATATGTATATTTTTATTCATTTTGTAAATATTCTAACTAAATATTTTATGCAAATATATGTGCATGAATGTGGAAAGACATTCAGATCATTGAAAATTTTGAATAATTGAGTACGAATTGTTTTGATTTGTAATAATTCATAAATCTTAAATATGTGAGTACGAACTGATTTGATTTGTAATAATGTATACAATATGTTAAATATAAATTATAACATGTAGTATACATTAGATTTATGAATTATTACATTCAAGAAAATTTAGGTGTGGCACCAACATGCGATAAAATAAGAGAGAGTAGACTTTGGTGGGCTGGCCATGTGTGGTGCATATCCAATACAACATATGTTAGGAGGTGCGAGTTAGTTCAAGTGGAAGGCTCAAAAAGGGCAAGAGGTAGGCCTAAAATGACATTGTTGGAAGTAGTAAGAAAAGATATAAGGACTTATGGTCTCATTGATGATATGACCCTTAATAGAGCAGAATGGTGGACCAAGATTTGTATAGCCGACCCCAATTAGTTTGGAAAAGGCTTTGACGATGATGTTAAATGTAAATTGTTAAATCTAGTTTAGGTATTAAACTAACTACTAATATTATAATAAGTATTATTTATTAACTAACTAACAATTAAGTAATATCCAAAATCCAAAATCACTTAAAATACAGACACTGAAATAGTGATGAACAAGTCCATAGTGTAGTAGTATCCGTACTCCATATTCCATAGTTCGTGAGTCATACAATCATAGTCATGAACTCCAAGTCTCAAATAAAACTACTCCAAGTCTCCAATAAAACCAATACAAAATGACGCAATTCAAAAGATGCAATAGAAAAGAAACGAATGAGGATTTCATTTTTCAAAGAAAAAGAAAAAAAGACCCAAAATGCCCCTTTCAGAATCAAAGCCACCCAAGACACCATAGCTTCACTAGTCCCTTTCTCTTGGGCCATGTTGTACTTTCTTGTTCTTTGTTCAAATTTTTATATTTTTTTTAAAAAGATCATCGTATGCACAAAGGAGGAAACAATATATCATGATCTTGATTGTTTATTCGGATGAAGATTAACCCATACGGGCCTCAGTATAGTTGGCGTTGTTCAGAGCTTTAAATAATGCAACTTGACTGGGAATTGGCTGAATCAGTTGCCATTGGCTTGGTGTTATGTTGAGTCCCACATCATTTTAAACTTTGGTTTTAACTTGGAAGGATGTTGTCATGTCAAAGAACGTCAGTGTTTGCATGCAATCAGGGTTGCAGAAGAATAAAATGGTATTTTTATTAAAAGAAACATGTATGTCCTTGTCATGCATACTAAGAGAGCTTGCAAGCATGTGTTATTTTTGAGATAAGTGATGATACTTATAGGGAAACATATACATTCTTGTTATAAGAAGATTAGAATTGGGTACAGTTACAGGTAAAATTTGTACACAGCAATGAATAAAGAAATGTGCCCATTGCTCTATACAACTTTCTAATCAAGACCTCTAATTATTTCATGACAGGATGTAACCTAGACGCCTATTGCCAATTAAGCTATTGTTTTCTGACAGTTGGTATTATTTCCTCCCTGTCCTTGTAAAAAGACGACTATCTGATCTGCTTGTGTTGTACTTTTTGTTTGTTACAGCATGACGTAGTTCCTGCCTTCTCTAACTATCTATGTTTATTCTTCTGCAATTTCAATGAAATTCAATGACATTATTGTGTTCTTGGCAGGTAGTGATGGTTGTTGATGCTCGGGATCCATTATTTTATCGATGTCCCGATCTTGAGGTATGATTCCTCGATGAAGCACTATGCATTATGGATACTATCTTGCTGGCTTTTACAAAAAAAATTAGTGTTGATCTCTGGAATACTTTGTAGTGTTAGAGTGCCTTTTTGTTTGTTGAACTTGAATATGGTATTGTGGTCGCCTTTTTTTTGTTTATATCATGTTTTTATCTTTATTATTTTGAAGTCACAAGGAATATGGTTCAAAAATGAAAAGAGACTAAAAAGAAACAACTCTGGGAAGTGATTATTCCAGAATCTTCCTCTTTTATGTTCCTATCCTTCCTTAGTCCTGCTACCTCTCTGCTTGTGACAGTTACTCCAACCCTGTAAGGGTCTCAACATGATGTGGCAGGGAGAAAGATTCGAGTCCACCGTGTGCCGCCTGGGCTGAGGCAATCATGCACCACAGACCTGCAAGCCCTTCCCTCTAATCTCCTCTGCGAGCTTGCAGTTCTTTTATGTGCATCTCTAAAGTGGATGCTCCACTCCAACAGGATACCCTAAGTACCTACCTTTTCCATCACATACTGCCCAATAGTTTGTTAGGGAATGTATGACACGACCAAGATGGATACCATGTGAATGAAAGAGAGATGTTTATATTCATGCTTTGATGAAAAATAGTTAAGTATTACGAATCATTCTTATGTGGCCTATCTGATTATCCAGGCACACACTCTGGTCCTAATGTGCCAATCATGTCATCATATAAAAGTTTTTACTTTCTAAAAGTATAGTCACTACTATTTCAGGTGTATCTGTGGCAAGTACGCAGTTTTTCTTATTGTTCTATTTAGTGGATGGAGTTTAGAGAATTGATCAGTTGCATGCATAACTGAAGTGGTATCTTCCATCACTTAGTATGAGCATTTCAGGCATCTTTACTCATTTTTTGCAAATTCCAGGCTTACGTGCAGGAGATTGACAAACACAAAAGAACATTACTGCTTGTCAACAAGGCAGATCTGTTACCATCTGATGTCAGGTTAAAATTCCTGTTCTTAATTATACTATGCGTGCTTAATTTGTCACAGTATGGTTTGTCAGGTTAAAATTCCTGTTTTTAATTATGCTATGCATGCTTAATTTGTCACAGTATGGTTTTTCTGATTGGGTCTTTTTCTACAGAGAAAGCTGGGCAAAATACTTCCATACGCATGATATACCATTTATATTCTGGTCTGCTAAAGCTGCATCAGCTGCTCTCCAAGGTGAAGTTTTAAGTGGTGATTGGGATCATCATGACCAAAATGCAAATGCGAAGGTGTACAGCAAAGAAGAGCTTTTGGCTCGCTTACAATCTGAAGCAGAGGCTATTGTAACTGCAAGGATCGGGGATGCCGAGGAATCACTTGAAACTCACTCTCCAAAGGGCAATTTGGTGGGTTTTCCTGATTCTAAGCATGTCACCGTTGGTTTTGTGGGTTATCCAAATGTTGGGAAAAGCTCAACAATCAATGCACTAGTTGGTGAAAAACGCACAGGGGTTACATCAACCCCCGGAAAGACAAAGCATTTCCAGACTTTTATACTTTCTGATAAGCTCGTCATCTGTGACTGCCCTGGCTTGGTGTTCCCTTCTTTTTCTAGTTCTAGATATGAGATGATCGCTTCGGGTGTTTTGCCCATCGACCGCATGACCGAGCACAGAGGTGCTGTGCAGGTCGTCGCGAATCGTGTCCCTCGAGCTGTGCTCCAGGATGTGTATAACATTGCCTTACCGAAACCAAAGGCATACGAGCCACAGTCTAGGCCACCTTTGGCTTCGGAGTTGTTGGGGGCTTACTGTATGTCTCGTGGTTATGTTGGTTCTAGGGGATTGCCCGATGAAACAAGGGCGGCAAGACAGATATTGAAAGATTACATTGACGGGAAGCTACCGCACTATGAGATGCCTCTGGACCATCATCCTGTTTCCTCGACACTTGGTGAGGAAAATGGAAACCCCAATGGTACGTATCTTTCTTTTGATAGGGAAGATGGTTTTCACATCTCTTCATGCAGCACAATAGAGGACCAAAATGCACCACCTTCCAATGATGTTGATGATATTGAGCATGTGTTGAAGGAGCTTGACTCTTTCGATGGCTCTTTTAGTGGTACTGCGAAAGAGAAGAAGGCAGCTCCCCAGAGGGCTTCTCATAAACTTCACATGAAGCCTGCTAGGAGGAAAGACCGCTCGTGGAGGGTTGGGAGTGACGGGAGTGATGGGATGCCCATGGTTGGAGTGTTCCAAAAGGAGGTCAGTTATGGGGCTGCAAAAACATCTTCAAAGTTTTGTTGAGCTGCCTTTGGGAAGAAGGTTGCATGCCGTCTCAGAAGCTTTCTCGAGTTGCTTCTTGAAAATGCGAAGTATGTGCTGTCTTGCAGTTGATTGGACGTCATACTATGGTTAGATTTGAATCCATGATAAAGGCTTGTAAGATATAAGAACTTTTATTTAATAATCTTTCCCTTTCTTGTTTTTCACTTTCTATTTCTTAGTTTAGGTTTTGACATATTGTGGCCCTCATGTTCTTACCTTATGGAAGCGGCGAAGATCTGCATTGAATTTTCATTTTGATCTTTGTCTGATTGTACTACTGCAATTACCATTACAGTAGTACTGCAATTACCATTGGTTCGCATCCCACTTCTGCAGCAATTATGTTAGGGAGAGGAATTTGAAAATTTGAGATCCTTAACTTTGGCGTCAAATGCGCTGTGATTTTGTCTTGGAAACGGTTGACTTGGGCTCAATGAAAAAATGTTTTTCTTGCTATTAATTTTCTTTTCCAAAAATGCACAAGTGCGTAGAAAATCAGACTGGCGGGTGCAAATAGAAGCCCAGATAAAAAAAGAATTGGACGAATCGTATAAATCTAGGGAACAGAAATCCCCCAATTTTTTTTTGAGATGATATATGATAAAAGAGAAGATGTGAATTTTTCGGGGGAGATTCAACATTGCATCTCTCTCCCCTTCCCCCCTTCTCTCTCTATGGATCACTTCAAGCGTTGTTTGAATGTCCTGATTTTTCGAGTTTAGAATAAACTATTCATGGGCACCTTTTTGGGAATTATTGTCAAAATGCCACATGGTGGGAATTTAACATGTCATTTTGGCGAAAATATTATTAGCATTATCTCAAAATCGATTTTTATATCTAATTATAAAATTTTAAACTCCAATGAATGTGAAAATCAAGTAGATATATAAACATATGAAAGTTTTGAAAATGGACGGTCTAGATAAAGTTTTGCAAGATGTACTATTTTTAGTACTCAATATATATATATATATATATATATATATATATATTTTCATATTCATACGTCTTGATGTTGAGATGACTAATTAGAGGTTTTTTCAATATTAAAACAACATTTTCTAATGGATTTTGAGGTGCATCTGTAATTTGACATTTTAAGGATACGACCTTATATAAACTTTTTTCAATACGTATAGACGAAAACGAATAGTGATTTCGCCTACCTTCTTCGCTGTCAAAAGTTCATTGCATGGTTACAATTGTTTGATAGTGTTTTATTTTTTATTTTATTTTTTTACAAATTAGAATGATCAGAAATTTGAAGCGTATGTAGATATTAGTGAGGTGCACGTAATAAAAATATAAAAAAAATACTTTATAAAAACAAAATTGACCAAAATACTCCCGAAACTTTTCGGGGGTATTTTGATCATTTTTTTCATGTAAAATATTTTTTTGATATTTTTCGTAGATTCATCTATTTTTTATGAACACACGTTTCAAATTTCAGGTCATTCTAATTTATAGAAAAATAAATAAAAAAAGAAAAACTACCGAATAATCGTGACCGTACGATGAACTTTAGACGGTGATGAACGTAGGCAAAATTACTATTCATTTTCTCCTATAGGCGTTATATATATATATATATATAAATGCTGGGATTAGCCTACTAGCTCATATGAATATATAAACCCAAATTGAATCTGGGCCGATCTGACGGTCACGATCCCATTTTGTATTTGAAATTTAATTTAATTTTTTTATATATATAGGGAGAATTTATAATTCACAACCTTTTAATTTATAAAAAGTTAATATTAGAGTGAGTTGTGAATAATAGATTTACTAACTACATGTTTCTTTAAGTTGTTGTTTTTTTTTTTTAATTTATGTTTTACGCATGTAAATATTATTAAACACTAAGGGTATTTTTATCATATTCATGATGAATAAATTTGAAATTTTTACTCTAGGATAAAAGTACTATATATATATATTTTGATAATTTATTCTAAAATAAAATTTTACGATACTAACTTTTAAACTAGGATACGGTTAGTGGGCTTGACAATAAATATATATTTTAAATAATTTGATCCTAAGTTTTAAAGAACATTTAGTCTTTAAGATGGATGCTTTATATCTCTGGACTGCATGTTATATAAATTCGATCTAAGCCGCATGAAACAATTGTTCTTTAAAATATTATTATAATTTTATAAATATTTTAAGTTTACCTTTAATTAATGTTTAAATCATTCTCCAAATTTAATTTATGGGGAGAGATAGAGCTACTTCCGTGGTTGGAGTGCAGAGAAAGGAAAACATGTGGAAAAACTAAATCTCTCTAAAGCCATGCGATACCCCTCTCTCACTCTCTGTCTCTGAAAAAATTCCATCCTATCCTAGGGAAGTGATGGACACTGTGTCCCATACCAGACCATCGCTAAACCCAGTCTTTTGTTGCAACAACATTCTCTTCAGGCATTCCCCGTACTTCCCGCCCCAACGACGCTATGTTGAGGGAATTGGGTGCTCTCCTTGGCAATTATCAGCAACGAGTAGGAGGAGAGTGGAGACTAAAAAAGGAGTGTTGGTTGTGCCAAGAGCAGGTGGGGGTCCTCCCAGCAGCACCATTCTCATATTTGCGTTTGTGTTCCCTCTCTCTCTCATCGCCATCACCGTCCTCACTTCCATCAGGATTGCCGACAAGCTCGACCAGCAGTTCCTCGAAGAGGTTGCGATCTCTCTTACTCTCTCTCTTTCCAAATCCTTCCAATTATATGCTTTTATAACAAAATTATTCTCTCTCATTCGTATAATGTTATATTTCTCGATGTTCTCTGTGATTGACTGCCAACAGTTGTGTAATATCTTTTGTTAGCGTTGTTCTTAATGGCTGTATACAAGTTTACATTTATACTAGATTCTCAAAGATGCATTTCCTCCGCTTCTGCAGCTTATTTTATTGTATGCAGGTCCTAAAGTGCAAACGAGGAATGAATAGAAACATGAAATGATTTGAGAATCTATCCTCATAATCCATCCAATTCAATGGCCCAGAACTCGTGGTGATGGTGATGGAAACGAGTTCATTGCGCCCTACAGGAAGCCCATGAAATATGGCCTTCTCTGTCCAAATCCCAAGGGGTTTACATTTACTTTCTTTGTAAAATTTCTACCCCCGACATATTGTATGATCCATGAAGTTGAAATCCCAAGAATGAGCCCAATCACCTCACATACATATGGCTCCCCAAACGCCAGCTACCATTGAAACTGGAAAACTAGACAAAATGTGTTAACAATGACATATTGGCATGTTATCTCCTAGCAGTTAATAGCATAGGTTAAAAAACCACGTTTGGTGAAAATAAAAGGAAATAAAAATTGTGCAGAAAAAAGTGCAAAACACTAGTATTTAAGTCGGCAATTGGTTACATCTAGAAACCTCACATATATTTACTATCTATCTGTCTATAGCAGCCTCCATATAAAGAAACCAAAAAAAGACACCCACACGAAGAAACCTCTATCCCCTCCTTCTAGGTTTTAGAATGGTTCTCTCTCTCATTGAATCACCTGACTTTTTCCAGATCATCATCGATTAAAACTCGACAAGAGTAGGATCTCCATAATATTAGAAAAGGAGGTGATTATCCATAATATCAAGTTCCCTAAATAATGGAAACTTGACTTTACCGTAATATTCTCCCACTTTAAGACATGTTGTCATTCTGACTAATTTGCTTCAAGAAATCCTTGTGCAATAGTTACCAATCACCAAATAACCTCAATCCTAAAGGAACTTTTGTAGGAAGTACTTTCTACAAAAAAAAAAAAAAAAAAAAAACCGTTCGTAGGAAGTGAACTTTCCCTTTTCAATGGGTTCAGTCAACATCATTATCATCATCATTAGAGCCTTTTCCCAACAGTTTGGGATCGGCCATACGAATCCGGGTCCGCCATTCCGCTTTATCAAGGACTATACTCTTAGTGAGGCCATAAGTCCCGATATCTTTTCTCATTACTGCCAACCATATCCTTTTGGGCCTACCCTTTGCCCATTTTAAGCCTTCAACTTGAACCAACTTGCACCTCCAAACAAGTGCCGTACTGGGTTTGTGCTGCACATGGTCAGCCCATTTAAGTCTACTTTCTCTGCCTATTGGAGCCACACCTAAGTTCTCTCGAATGTAGGGCTGCGAAAACATATGTATTGGATATCCATATGGATTTTCCGTAATAAAATTGATATTCGTTAGATATGAATTTTAATCTATATTGATTATCTACATTGATATCCGTTGGATATCAATATGGATTTTCTATAATAAAATTGTCCATCATCTACCACATCATGAAAAAGTGATGTAGGATATCAATATGCTTAAGTTTTATCAATGAGAGTTGGATTCTTGCAAAATACTAGGCACTTTGGCTATCACAACGACATGGTATCCCTTCTTGTACAACTCATAATTCTCAATGTAACATGTTTAGCCAAATTGCTGCTTTAGTTGGTGCCTCTGCAAAGACAAAGCCACCAGGGACTATGACCTCGATAGTCAACTACTCCACCTGCCAAAGAAAAAACATACCTAGCAGTAGACCTTTTATCCATGTCACCTGCAAAATCCCCATTAGAATACCTAGCAACTTTCAAAATCCATTGCACTATCCAGCTACCAACATTACAAGTTCCCTTCAAATAACAAATATCTACTTATAGTGATCCAATGACCATGGGGTACGATTTGCCATGTATCTACTTACAACTCCCACCATTTGTGCCATGTTAGGTTTAGTGCTAACCTTGGGAAGCATGAGGCTTTCTACTGCTGATTTGCTTAGTGCATTCAATGGATAAACTTTTAACAAGTACTATACTTAACCCACATTGGGGATAGTCCTATCGTATTAACCTGGATTTTACTTCTAACTTCTTGGGAATTTCACCTTATTATCACTTAATATCATATTTTATGTAGTTTTACTACATCCGTCACTTGGGATTTCATTCATAGAATACTGTGGTTTCGCTATTCAACCACTATGAGAGTTATTGAGACAAGGCTTGAAAGGCTGCATTTCGTAACACCCCACTTGGCCTTGGGGCATTTATCATCTTCTTTCTTCGTAAACCCTAATTGCACTCCATGTTTCTCCAACATGCCCCGATTTAAAGTTTTTTAGTCAGGTTAACACCAATCATTTTGGGAGTGCATCACCACAAAGGGCTGGGATTGAGATCCCAAACGGTTGGAGCCGAGACACCTAATATTTGGGGATCTTTATCCCTAACATATGCATTGTATAGACGACATTCACAACCATAGGGATCTTTTAGCCTTTCATGAACTCCTGCTCTCAATACAACAACTTTGACTTGGATATAGGATTGACACTACAATGCTTAATGGCAATACTAGAAACTATTTAGTTATCATGAAATTTTATCAGTTGGACTGTGAGTTGTGCACTCCAAATTTGAAACCATTCAGAAGCTTTTCATACAAACAATCCCATGCACTCTTGTTTCACATTGCATACTTGTAAGACTTCTCGAGTCAGCAAAATTAAGATTGTAATTAAGTAATCCCTATCTGAAGATAGAAATTTTATAAAACTGGTTCTTCTTGATTATACAAAAGGCATATATTTGGAAAAGGCTTTCCCTATTAGTGGGATTGGAGTCAAAGGTGAGCCTTATACCATGTGATGAATACACATGTGTTGGACATGTTTTGGCATGTTAGACACCCACACATCTATATTTTGACACTCATCAACACTTCTTGGAAGTACTGTTAGGTGTGTCTTTAACTTTTCCATGCCGGACACACAAAATATGGTGTGTAGGGTAATAGGCCAAGGAGCCAATTGATGATGTATAGCCTTCCAATCAATCTCATTGCGTAAGAAATTGATATACTAGTATTGGGAATGACCTACTGAGCCATACAATAAATCATGCTCTTATACTTGGTGAAATCAATTTGCAGTGCTTCATTTTCCATGCATAGCAAGTGTATTATCTGATGTCATCTAGTTTGCCATGATGTGGTTCCATTCTTTTTTTCTCTTTCATAGTAGCCAATGTTTTTAAAATCGGTGATCCAGATCGGAACCGGCTGATTTGGATCGGGAATTGGTCAGGCTAATCTAGATCCAACAAAATATTAGGAATGGGCTGGTTCCCTCTTTAAACTAGTGGGTTCACTAACAGAATCGGCCGGTTCTGTCAGTGAATCGGATGGTTCTAATGTGAACCGGTTTAAAAAAATTGATTTTTTTTGTTTAAGGGAGAGGGGGTGGTGGGACCGGCCCTCCCTTGTCTTTATGTGGCTTTTTAGATTTGGAATTTTTTTATTGAAGTGAGAGGCGGTGATGGGGCCCGCCCTCCCTTATCTTTAAATAATTTTCTAAACTTTCCAAATTTTAATTTTTTTCTATTGGTGAGGGGTGGCCACTCATGTCCCGTAGGAACACGTGCTTTCACCTGCACATTTGAAGTTTCCCCACCTTCATGAGAGCATGTGATAGCAGTTTTTTTATAAGCCCATGCCCCCACTTAATTCTTCCGAATGCCTGATGTGGGACTAAAAGGAAAGGCATTAAAACATTCGAAAAGAGAAATGAAGGGGTGTTCAAATTTCTAAGATGCAGAGAGAAAAAATCAACTTGAGAAAAAACCATGCTCTTGTAACGTGTTTAGTGGGAAAATGATTTTTAGAGGCATTTTACAATCATCACGAGAGAGAGAAAACAAGATAGTTTTTACAATCATCATGAGAGAGAAAGCTGTGTTCGTTGTTCTTTGGAGGCAAATGATTGTAAAATGGCTATAACAACAGGATTGGCGATTGAAAAATTCATCTGAGATTTTTTCCATCAATTTAGAATTTGTAAAAGGGCTGTTTGTTGAAGAAATTTGCCATTTGGAAGGGGAAATATTGGTTTTCTAAATAAATTTATTATTTAATGTTATAACATCTAATTTTCTGCCGATATTTTTAATCATATATTGTAGAAGTGTTTTTTATTTTCTTTTTGGATCATGTTTGATGGAATATTGTTTTATTAAGATGAATAGTTTGGATATTAGAATGAATATGTAGTATATTATAATTGTACATTAATAATACAAATCTTGTAATTTATTTATTCTAAATTACATAATGTATTATTCTTTATTATAGATGTAAATAAGGATTTTTTTATATTAGAAGTTATTAAAAACTATTATTGAATTTACTTATTTTTGTACCTTGCCACCCTTTTCATCTGAAATCTGCCTCCTTCTCCCTATGGACTTTTACCCCTCCCCCTCGCCACCTCTTCCTCTTGTTACCATCCCCCCCACTACTTTCTCTGATGCAGGATCCTCCTCTTCAAACCCCACCCCCTTCCCATCTCAATATGTTGATTCTGATTACATCAATGTGGTCGACCGCGGCTGGGGCATCATGAAGGAAATCTTCAGGGTTATGGGCTTTCCCCATGAAGGCCCGGAAGGGCCTCTCCTCAGTTTCTTCTAGGTGGATGCAAATAGTGGGCTCAAGGGGAGACTCGAAGGTCAAAGAGAGGTGATGAACCTCTACACTGGTATTAACTACAACTGTCAAAACCCTTTGGTGCCACCTGCCTTTGCTCCGAACTCGGCCACAACTTCGGACCCTCCACTCAGAAGGTTCCCTAGACTGGCCACCACCCAAACTCCCCACATTCCCTTAT